GAAGGTAGCAAAAAAATGCTGATAAAACTAGGGTGATACTGCCAAGAATGAAGCAAACAAGAAAAGCACGTTCGTATAAAATAATTTTAAGCTGTAATTGTTAAATGACATCCATACAATGGAATAGAATTTAGCCTTTTGCAAGTGACTTAACGTATCTAACGTACTAATGTAATATGTTTGCAAAATGCATTATTTTATTTATTATTATCGTGTATACTGTATGAGACTTGCCTCACTTACTAAAGGTTTTTTTGTTAAGACTTCAGATGGTTATTAGACAACGAGAAGAGCATAACATGTCGAACAATACTATACATTTATTGAAGATGGCAAACTCTTGTTCTGTTTGATGAACGTGATTATACTTTTAACTATATAGAAATGAATATGTAGGTATATATCTTTGAATCAGTGAGACAGTAGACATGTTGCTGAGGTGGGTATTATTATTATCTCAACTGCTTCTTGTCACTGCGGGCTATAATCTATACTCAATGATTGATAAGTTGACAGATACCAAATATGACTGCCTTTACAGTTACTCTGGTCCTGATTTTTTCCGAGACTTGATCATTCAGAAAGGTCCAGCACAACGACAACCAACAGAACAAATATCGTCCTTTTGTCTCGTTGTCTCATATTCAACTCATAACGAAGAGCAATGTACCGTAAATGACGGTATAAACTGGTCATTCGAACACCTTCATAAGCTTAATATCACAAGTAATGATCTTGTTAACTGGAACGCCCCAGTCTATACTATGGATGAGTATGAACATTATCTTCAAACGGACAACGATCAGTTAAGCGCAATTCACTTTTGCAACTGTACGGATAAGTTTCACTTTGGTAGATATTGTCAATACACTTTCGATATAAAAGAAGAATCTTTTGATAGGACACTTGCATTTCATTTTTCCAGTCGTAAGACTGTTTCTAATGATAAAGCAATAACAATGACAGACATAGATGTCACTTGTTATAAAAGAGATCCTTCATGTCTTGGAGGGTGTCTTGACTGGCGTCAAATTTGTAATGGCATTACTGATTGTAACGATGGTTTTGATGAAAGATTATGTGAACTGCTTGAATTTAATGAGTGTAATGATGATGAATATCGATGTCGGTCTGGCCATTGTATACCATTGGTATTTGCATTTGATACGATATTTGATTGTGCAGACGGTAGTGATGAAACTAAAAAGTCTGTGTCTCAGTTCATGAATGACCTATGTTTCCGGCGAACACCGAACATGTTTTGCGATGATTTTAACGATGCATCGTTGAAGTATCCATGTGGTGATGGCGAATCAATTCGAAGTCTATTTAATGTCTGCTCGAATGGACGTCACAGCCTCACCTTAAGGCAACTTTATGCTGATGATCAAACACTGTGTTTCAAGTATATGTTATGTGCTCAATTAGAACATATATGGTTTCCGCTGTTATTGAATTATAGTGTCTTTTGTGATAATATTAATCCTTATCCATCTGCACTATCATCAGTATGCCCTGAAGAAACAGTTTTATTTCCGCCGAAGCCACTCATGCTTTTTCCTTCAGTTTATTTGGCTTACCAAACGAATAAGACTGAACATTTTTCACCTGATTTCATTTGTTATACAGAATGCGACCATATTTATCCACCGAGTTCAATACAACATGGATATTCATGTCGTTCAGTGACTGATTTCAACAGTGAATCATTTCTGTTATCAGAGCAATTACATTATCTGGCTACTGAAATCTTATATTTATTTACCGGATGTACCGACCACAAGAGAAGAATCAATACATCATTGATATTCTATTGCCCGATAACACGTAAAGTTATTTCATATTATCGTGTCAAGGATGGATTCAACGATTGCCATCAAGACTTAGATGAAACCTTTAATGGGAGTACTTGTATACAAAATTCTACACAACGATTTCGATGTTGGACTACCTCAGATGAATGCATTCCATTACGTTTTGTACTAGATCAACAGCCTCATTGTTCAGACGAATCTGACGAATTTTATGATATACAATGCGAGGACGGATTAGAGCTGGCATGTGACTATCAACGTGGACTTTATCGACCACCATTGCTCCACTACGAGTTTTCGGTAATAGATGCATAACATCTTTTTAAAGTAGGATAAGAATCCAAATGAGTGTCTTGTAAAGTTTGTGATAAATTGTTTCTTTCAAATAACAGTTCCGAAATTTCATACATAACGAAAGAAGTGATTCTTTTGGTAATTTCTGTTCAAGTTACTATTTTAAACATAGGAAAGAATTCAAGTATAAAGAAAAACGTGAGAAAGATTCATGCCATTGGATATGCTTTGCAGAGAAATACGAATAAAAAATTTCCATTAAAATACCATCATTAAAAGTAGATTCAAAATGAACAGAACGCCTACTCGTAATGCTCATATCTGGTCTCAGAATAATGCCAAAATCTTGACTGGCTTTCCACATCTGCTGTGACACGCCTACACTGCAAAAAATAGGCGTAGAATAATAAACCCTTCAAAGGGGTTTATCAACCATCATAAACCCTTTCATAAACCCTTTTCGTGTCATAAATCCTTTCATATACCATTTTTCTTCATAAACCCTCGGAAGGGTATTTTATACGTTGCACTTTCATAAACCCTTTAGGGTATATGAGCTGTAATATACCCTTAAAGGGTTTTTTTAACTTCAAAAACCCTACTGAAAAGGGTTTATTAATATACCCTTTAGGAGAAACCGTACAATAATAAACCCTTATCAGAAAGGTTTTTGAAGTTAATAAACCCTTTAAGGGTATATTACAGCTCATATACCCTAAAGGGTTTATGAAAGGGTTTATGAGGGTTGATAAACCCTTTTGAAGGGTTTATTATTCTACGCCTATTTTTTACAGTGTAGGGTGGGAAGTTACTGCTACCATTACATGGATAACTGGTAATGGGACCGGTACCAGTTACTTTTTCCTGGTAACTTCTCTAAAGAGATGAATTATTACTTCTCATGAACAGAATTTTGCAACTACGTTATTTTTTAAGTTGACCCGTTCCCAGGCAACTGGTAACGGGTAACAGTTACCATGGTAACTGGTAACTCCAAATTTTTTTTGCTAGTGTATTGTCAATATTTGGTCCAATAGAAGTGATATTTAGTCTTTTCAAAAAGTTACCAGGAAAAAGTAACTGGTAACGGCCCAGTTACCAGTTACTCGGGTAACTGGTAACTCCTTCCATAGGAACCGTTACCGTTACCGGATAACGGTCCGGGACCGATAACTTCCCACCCCTAGACACGTCACATGAGATCTGCAAAACTAATTTTTATTGATGGGAGCAAACAATGCTTTGTTAGATAAAATATGACTAGTAAACAATAATATTTTTAAATTAAACAATAGTTAATAAAAATATTCTTATAGATAATTCATATTTTTAAAATAAACAATACCCAGGAGATTCAATCCGACCTGTAGATTCAATCGAAAACGATCGGATCCGCCTCGGATTTCATCGGAATCCGATATCTTTCATAAAAAACCGATCGGATTCGACAAGATTTTTGTCGAATTCCCATCAGCCGGATTCCGGTCCGGATTTCATCGGAATTTGACGGAACACGATGAAATCCGGACCAGAATCCGGCTGATAGGAATCCGACAAATACAGGATCGGATTCGACCGAAATTATTCCAAACTGGTGAGATCCGACTGGGGTCGTTTGACCTGGGTAGTTGATAAAAATATTCTTATAGATAATTCATTTAACTAAATTCTTGGTATTAAAATTTTTTAATAAATAAATATGCTGAGAACAATCATAAGTAGGTTTGTATAAACATGATGTTTTTAGTGCAACTCAGGCTCTTAGATAAGTTGATATTTTAAATTATCTTCAATGATAGTGAATATGCCACAAATTTTCAAATCATTCGACTGTACACTATCACCTTATTATCTCATGAAAAGCTATCCACAAATATGTTTTTTAAATTATTATGAGTCTTTAGATTCATATAACAAAGCATCATATCGGATCATAATACGAACAACTTCATCGGAATCATTTTTTTATAGCTAGATTAGTTCTAGTTTTCGAATTTGTAAATTCACTCGATATAAGGTTTCGATGAAATTAAAAGTTCTTCACTAATAGAATAGTTCATTAGTATAAAACAAAATCAGGAAACATATTAACAATAAAATCAAGAGAAAAAATCCCAAACTAGTTGTTCGCAACCAGAAAAAAACATAGAATTTATCACTACTACCATTTTCATAAAGCATTGATAATGTTCTTATTTACTGCTAACAGGTAAAATACACTGTAACTTATTTTAGACATCATTTTTTGTCACAATTCCATCAAAATAGATTATCTTTATCTTCCCATCATCTGAAGGAACATATTTTCATTTATACTTTATATTTGAAGGACTTATGCGATGGTAGAAAACGTCAACCTTCTTTGCTTCAATTTATTAATGGTACAGATGAAAGTGATTGCGAAGAGTTTTGGTGTTTTTCAGCATCCTCTACACGATGCGATGGTTACTGGGATTGTGCTGATGGTCGTGATGAGCTAAACTGCTCTCTTGAGTCATTACCTTCTCATGCAAGATTTGTGAAGATGTTGCATACACTAAACGGTTGTAATGATACAGAGCACTTTTGTTTACATATTTTCAATGGGTCAAAAGAATCATCTCGTTACTGTATTTCTGTTTCATTAGCAGGCGATGGCCATGTCGATTGTTGGGGTGCAACTGATGAACGTTATAGCACTTGTGATTATAGAAAGATTACGAACAATCTGAGAAATGTATATCCCTGTTCCGGAGGAAGCAATGAGTGTATGCTAGTAAAACATGTTTGTGATGGGTCCTCAACGTGTAAATTGGAGGACGATGAAAAAGTATGCGATTGGCTTCCAAAGAATGCCGCCTTAGATAAATTTTACTGTCGCAATGGTACCGTTTTTACTCGAATACTTGTTCGATGTAACGGAATATTAGACTGCCCGGAGGGCGAAGACGAATGGTTTTGCGATTTACAGATGCATAAGCAGGTCATCACTGCAATGGAATATGAGAGACTTGCTTCTTACCCTTCGAGTCTTCAAAATATCACTACACCATTCGTCTATAACAAACAAACTAATATTCTTATTTCTTCTAATGTAATGTCTGATTGGTTTTGTAATCGTGGGATCCCAGTGATGGATACAGGGTTGCGCCGTTGCATGTGTCCATCAAGTTATTTCGGAGAACGTTGTGAAAATCAACGAGAACGAATTTCCATAGTTCTACATGTCGTTTCCTCACCAAAATTTCAAAGAAATAACGCCATTAAAGTTATTTTGTATTTAGTTGATACGGCATCTCAACAGATTTTAGCAGATGAAGAAATTTTGCATTTTCCCTATGTTCATTCATCGTACAAACATTTAGTTTTGCTATCCTCTGATCGAGCTCCTCATTCTTTTGTTCGTATTGATACATATGAAGTGGATATGAAACAAGTCATTGGCTATCGTGCATCCTGGAAATACGACCTTCCTTTTCCATTTTTACCTGTACGTCGATTAGCTATTCGACTTGTCTTGTCAGATGATAATGGTTTCTCAGCTCAAACTGGATTCACATGTCACACATGCATTCATGGCCAATGTTTACCATATCAAAATTCTGATGACGTGTTTTGTCAATGCTACGATGGATGGACTGGTATCGGATGTAATGAATCTTTCATTTGTGCATCAGGAGCGATGCCTATTAATTCAAATCGATGTATATGTCCAATGAATCGCTATGGTACTCGATGCTTTATCTCAAACATTGCTGTATGTCAATGTCGCAATGGAGGTACTTGTATACTGCTAGATGCTCGTGCTGGACAAAGTGCATGTTTGTGTTCAGAAAATTATTTTGGTCAGTATTGTGAACGACAACATGCTAGTCTCAAAATAACAACATTTGATAAATATCAGCCTGAAATATTACCTATCGTTCTAATTCAGTTCATCCAATTTCATGAATCGGACTACACGTATTTTGAAAGTACAATTTTATTTGAACGTATTTCAACTATTCGAGCTCTTTCAATATATCACATCGATCACGAAAGTCTACCACCTATGGTTATTAGTAAAATCTTTTACAGCTCATCAGCTGAAGATTATGCTTATTATATTATTTTACAAGTACCCTTGCTCATATTTCGAAAGGATTTTCAACTCAAATATGTAGAGACACAACTAGAAACAAGACAAAAATGTTCAGATGTACGTAAGATGAAAATTTTCAAGACACCTATTAATATACTTACATATCCATACATCAAACGTATTAAATATTATCTTCGTGTATGCTTCCAAAACAATATAACATGTTTTCATGATGAGATCTATTTTTGTTCGTGTCCTACACAAAAAAACCATACTGTAATGTGCAAAATCTACGATCACAATCGAGAAAAATGTCAAACGTCTAGTTATTGTCTCAATGGAGGTTTATGCATTGAAAATCGACGTAAAGGAATAGTTGAATTTGCATGTCTATGTATATCATGTCATTACTATGGCTCACTATGTCAATTCTCAACAGGGCAACAAGGTTTATCACTCGATGCATTGATTGGCGTTGAGATGCGTACAGGAAAAACTCTATCAAAACAATCGATACTAATCAAAATGAGTCTGACCATCCTTACATGTATGATTACACTTGGATTCATCGGAAATATCTTGTGTGCAATAACATTCGTTAGAAAAAAATCTCGAGAAGTAGGATGTGGCTATTATTTGTTTCTTATATCAATATATAATCAACTTGCATTAATACTACTTGGTTTGAGATTTGTATATCTTCTTATCACTCAAATGATATTATCAAATAATCGAATTCAATTGCTTTTTCTATGTCAATGTCTTGAATTTGGGCTAACACTCTTTCCAAATCTTTCCAATTGGCTATCAGCATGTGTGAGTGTAGAGCGGACATATGTAGTATCATATGGTACTTTCTTTAGTCGAAAGAAAAGTGTACGTGCTGCTAAGCTATTATGTATTATTTTGTTGATAGTACTTGGTGGTATGACTGTACATGAACCTATGACACGTTATTTGATTGAAGATCCTCGCTTGGGTCGGTATACTTAGGGGTGCAACAAATCTTGTATAGATTTGGGATTTGTGACCAAATGCTTTGGATTTGGATTTGGGTTTGGATTTGGACTTAGGATTGCACCTATGCCCGAGTACTTGGGATTTGGATTTGGATTTGGTTTGGATTTGGGGTATAAGATTTGGATTTGGTTTGGATTTGGGATTTAAGATTTGGGTTTGGGTTTGGGTTTGTGGATAGGATTTGGATTTGGTTCTTGGATTTGTTTATTTTAAGATTTGGATTTGGGTTTGAGATTTGTAGAAGTGACTTTAGATTTAACTGTTCACATACATATCTTTATTCGTATATTGCATACACTGCAATAAGGAGGAGAATCCTAAGGGCATTATGTGAGGTACTCTGAGATCGTCAAAAGCTACCCTATGGAAGAAGGGAAGAGTACCTAATGGTTCTGAACACTTATATGGAGTGCCCGTAGGGTCTCAATGACTATCTTTTGAAAGTGCCCATGGGCTTTCAACGGCTATCTTTCAGGCAATCCATGGGTCCTGGAGATATATTATAGGGAGCATTCAAGGGCCCTGAAAAACTATCATATGGGCATACTCATTGATTCTCAAGGGACATCCTGTAAGAGTATTAGTAGGTCATCAAAGGCTATTATATATGGGCACGCATGGATTTTAGAGGGCTATCCTATTGAAATGCTCAAAATTCATCAAATTGAGAGACCTGTAAGTCCTCAAGGACGATCCTACGATGGTATCACATAGTCCCTAAGGAGCAATTATATGGGGATACCCAT